TCTATCCCTGTGCCCATGACGTTCGTAAGTTTGCTGCTCTTGCTGCCGTCTTTGGCAATATGCCTTGGGCTTACATTCGGGCACAGGATTTTTGGCGGTCGAACAGGGTCCTGGCAGCACGCTACCTTGTGAACATTGCTGGGTCCAGTTGGGCCTGTGTTGCTTTAGGTCGGCGGATGCAGCCCGTTGTCTCGACTTTGAGCTGAGGAGTGGAGCATCGACCGCCTCTAGGGTAAGTCCCCATGTTTTTTATAAGTTTGGTGAAGTAGCTCTCAGGAGCCATAGGGGCTCCCCCCAGAAAACCAGCATTGAATGTAATGAAACGTCATATTCTGGGCGAGTCCCGGAGGCTCCCCAGCAACCCTCCTGCCCTCCGGTCGGCGGTTTTTCGCAATTTTTGATATCCAGACTCAGAACTGGGGCGGGGATCGCCGGCTCGGAAGTCTGGGGCTCCCCCTTCCCCCTCCTGGGGAGGGGGGAGCTGCACAGATATGCGGCACGGCTCGTGAAATGTCATTCTTATTTGCTCATTTTTCTTTTGGGGAGTTCTGTCTACTCGTTTGTCGATTTTTGTTGTTAACCAGAATATGGGTTTGTTTTGTGGCACTTACCTTTCTGGGTGCCTGTCCCAGTCAATGGCAGATATAGAATGCTCCAAATCACATGTGCATTTCTATGCACGTGTAATTTGTGATTCCCCGTGCCTCTGTGAGGGGGGCCAGGTTCTGGCTCGTGGTCGCCGGTAGGCTAGAACTCCACCCACATCGACTGATGCAAAATAGTTAGGGTATCCATATCAGCCATGGATAGCTCCGGGGAGCCTACGGAAATCGCTCAGAAATGGCATTTCATTACATTCAACGCTGGTTTTTTGGTAATATGTCCTTGGTTCACATTCGGGGATGGGGCTTTTGGAGGTCGAACAAGGTCCTGGCTGCACTGTGCCTCGTTAATGTTCCGGGCCCTTCTCGGGCTTATATAGCCTTGCGCCGCAGGTTACAGTCAGTTGCCTTGACTTAAAGTTGAAGAGCGAGTGGTGGCCGCCTCCCGGGAAAGTCCCAATTTTCCTTTATCTTTGGTTAGGTAGGTCTGGGAAGCCGAAGGGGCTCTCCATAGTAAACCAGCATTGAATGTAATATAACACCGTTTTTTGAGTAAGACCCAGAGGCTCCTGGGTCTTAACTTTTTTTTTCTGGGGGGAGCCCTGTCGGCTCCCAGGAGCTATTCCAGGCTGATATGCTAATGTCAGACTTTGGCATCAGTCATGTGTATGGAGTTCTTAGGCCTACCAGGGACCACGTCCAAAACCGGGCCCCCTCAGAGAGGCAAGGGGAGCAATGGCCTATAGAAACCTCGTGTGGTTGGAAGCATTCTATGTCTGCCATCGACCAGATCAGGCAACCAGAAAGGTAAGCGCCCCAAAACAAACCCCTATTCAGGTTCAAATTGCCACCAACAGCTGAACTAGTGAATAGAACTCCCAAACACTAAACGGGCAAACCAGTATGATGTCACACATCGCTCCGCCGCTGTCTGCGCAGCTCCCCCCTTCCCGGGAGGGGGAGGGGGAAGGGGAAGCCCCAAACCCTTCACGCCGGCTACCCACACCTCAGTTCTTGAGGCTGATGCTATAGGCAAAAGTCGTGTGCTCTGGCTCCAGTGTCGCTACGGCACTGCGCTTCGTGTGTGGTATTTGTTTTCTGTGGCTGCGAGGGCCAGGCGTTATCTTCAGTACTCGGGCTGCATGCGCCTATGGCTGCCTTCCCTAGGTTGCCCTGTAAGTACTGCCCTTGGAGCTTGGGGCCACTTTCCGCAGGCTCCTCGGGACCTGCCTCTGCTGGTCCGTTCTTCTGTTTGGTATTTTGGCCGCCTGTTGGGCTCTTGGGTGTTCTGTTCTCCCTTGTTACCTGCGGGTAAGAGGCAGTTTGCACTAGTAGGGGCGAAGGGTGTTGTGCAGCTTCATTTTCCCGACATAGCGGCCGGCTCTGTTCCTTGGGGTTCACTGTCTTCTTGCGGGGTTTTGTTTTTCTTTTTGTTTTTGCCTTGTGGGGGGGTTCTGCCCTATTATTCCACTGGTGTTTGCCCTTCCACGGTCGTCCTCGGTGGCGCCCCCTGCTAGGTCCCCGTGAGTGTACACATCCCTAGGATTCAGCTATAGAGGTTTGCTTGTTAATTTTGGCCGCCGGTTAGCTGCACCCTGCCTGGGATTACCCAAGCGTAGGTCCTCTTAAAGTATATGCTCAGGACCCTGGGAATCCCCTGGGGGCGAGTGGGTCCGATGGATGTGACCCAGAGTCCCCGCTCGCTTTGTGCGAGTTTGAGGGTTGCTCGGTCCCCTTGTCTCAGGATGACCCTCATTGTTTTTGCCTCTGCCACACTGCCTGTTGGGGCAGTGATACTTTCGACCCTGAGTCCTGTGAGTGTTGCTGCTTGCTTGTGACTCAATTTATCCAATCCTCTGATGATTCTATTTGGGTACAGGCGGCACGTGCGTTGCAGTCTAGGTTTTGTCTGCTGCAACGCGCTCGGTTGGTTGCTCACCCGGATGCCCCGGGGCTGCCCCGCATTGCTTTTCCAGACCCGGACTTGGGGGTGGGGGTCGCTTCGATCCTGGTTCAGTCCGCGCCTCGTCGTCCTTTTCCCTCCTGTTGTTCGTTCTGGTTCCCCCCCCCCCCCATCCTGCTTCTGACCTCGAAACGTCTGAGGGTTTCGGAGTCAGAGCAGGGGTTACTTGATCTCGAGACTCTGGCAGCTTCGGGGGATGCCCCTTCCAGGGAAACATCAGAGGCTTTCGTGTCTTGTCTCCCGGCCGAAGCTTCTGGGTCTGACCAGTGGGCCCCTTTTCTTCCGGCTTCTACGGCTGCGCCATCCTTGTCTTGTGGGGTCGGTGCTTGGGGAGAGGACTCGACCCCGGGTCTTGCTGTGAAGGACCTAGGGGCTGGGGAGGGGCTGATTTGGGGGCCTTGGGCCCCGCTGGACCCCGCCTGGGTTTTTCTTTCCTCTGAGCAGGGCTTGTTGTTACAAGGAGTGGGGTTTTCTTACCCCCCCTCTGCGTACGAGTTGGATTTGGTGTTGGCCCCTCCCCGGGTTCGGTTCTGTATTCCCCCGGGTGCGTCAGTTCCATCTTTTCAGAGGTTTTCGGCTTATCGCATCCAACCTGGTGTGGTGCGAGCAGCCCTTGCAGCATACCTCCTGCTTGACCCGGATTATGCCTTGGAGATGGATCCATCCGAATTCAGGTTTGGTACTTCGAGTTGTGGAGTGAGCGACGACCACCTCCCAGGTAAGTCCCTCTTTTTTCCGTCTGTGGGTAGTTAGCTCCGGGGAGCCGACAGTGCCCCCCCCCCCAAAAAAAAAAAGTGTTGAATGTAATGAAACGTCATTTTCTGGGTGAGTCCCGGAGGCTCCCCGGCATCCCTCCCTCCCTCCAGTCGGCATTTTTTTGTGTTTTTGACATCCAGCCTCAAGAACTGAGGTGTACGTAACCAGCGTGAAGGGTCTGGGGGCTTCCCCTTTCCCCTTCCCCCTTCCAGGGAGGGGGGGAGCTGCACAGACAGTGGCGCAGCGACGTCATACTAGTTTGCTCGTTTTCTGTTGGGGAGTTCTATCCACTAGTAAGTAAGGTAGCAATTTGAACCAGAATAGGGGTTTGTTTTGGGGCGCTTACCTTTCTGGATGCCTGATCCGATCGATGGCAGACATAGAATGCTTCCAACCACATGGAGTTTCTATAGCCATTGCTCCCCTTGCCTCTCTAAGGGGGCCCGGTTCTGGCCGTGGTTCCTGGTAGGCCTTAGAACTCCATACACATGACTGATGCCAAAGTCTAACATTAGCATATCAGCCTGGGATAGCTCCGGGAAGTCTCCGAGACTCACCCAGAAAATGGCGTCTCATTACATTCAACGCTGTTTTTTTTTTTCATTTTGTATATTTAGCCTCTGAACTGGGGTTGGGTAGCTGGCGCGGGATGTCTGGGGCTCCCCATTCCCTCTCTCAGGATGTGGGAAGCTGCACGCACAGCAGCGCGGACAGCGGCACGGCAGCTGTGGTGACATGCTTATTTACTTGTTTTCTGATTGGGGAGTTCTGCCTGCTAGTTCGGCTTTCAGTTTGCAGTTTTTAACCACCTGTAGTTTTTGGGATTCCTACCTTTCTGTGGTATCTGACCTGGTAGATAGAAGATATACACTGCTTTCAAACACATGGAGGTGTCTATAGGCCATTGCTCCTCATTAGAGGAGCAATGGCTAATGAACCAAGGCCCCTCTGAGAGGGTCCAGGTTCTGGCTCATGGCCCAAGGTCCCTCTAGAACTCTATCGATTTACTGTTACCATGGTCTAATATATATACACATCAGCCCGGTGTGCTCCAGGGAGCCTTCGGGTCTCACCCAGAAAATGACGCTTCATTACATTCAACGCTGGTTTTTTGTGAAAACTTTGCACTTCCCCTATTTTGCACATATTTATCAGAGAACTAGATTTAGGCATACCAAACTCTGTAACAAGACATAGGGGCACCACTTTCATATTTGGCTATGAGTTCTTTCTTAATCTCTATCTTAGTTCTAACCATTTTTCTTTTTGTTTGGCTCTTATGACAAACTCTTTCAGGTGACATGGTGACTTATTTACACTAAGAATATAAAAAATTGCCAAGAAAACATAAGAAAGCATAGAGAAGTCTTGTGGTATTCTGCATTGCATGACATCTATGTCAAAACTGACGTGTCAGGGATGCATGTTTATGTTTTTGTGCTGAGCAAACGGTTGAGTACCGAACACGAACACAGTGTTCGAGTGCCGAATTGTTTATGTTGGGAGTTGTTCAAGTATTGAAGTTCCTCTGTATATCTTAAGGAATTATTTAGAATATTTATATTTAAAATGTTGAAGTCTCTTGATGGCTTTCTGGTCAAAGAATTATGTTCTTACAATATCTAACATTTATAATACATTTTTAATAAGTTGTTAACTCATATTTCTTGTTTCACTAGCATCATCAACAGAAGAAAAAGCTGGGTGAGCACCGAGCCCTGGTCCTGACTGTGAGAGACAACCTCGTTGCCTTCATCAAGTATAAAAGTCCCAGAGCTGCAAAATATGGAAAATCTCCGTAAACAATTCATTAAACTCTACGTCGGTTACGTGAAAGGTGGTACATAACCTATTGTGAGGGTTTGCCCTAAATTTATACACATTTTCAGTGACAACCTTAGAATAAACATGCAATTAAAATATCACACACTATTGTCAAGACGGGGCTTCATAACAATGATGAGTTTTTCATGAAGTTGATGCAATATTAGAAGTATCAAATATTTTTCTATTTTCCTATATTTTAATGCATATACATATAAGGGAAAATATAAGGGAAATATACAATACTGTATTAGATCATTATGGAGTTCATTTCCTGGACCCATGATTACCCATAGGATATGTATGGGGTGCATAATAAACATTCAATCAATTGTCATAATTTCCTTTTGTTTAATTGAACATCAATCCCATTAGTTTGGTAAATTATTTTATTTAATAATTTAACTTTTGGTCAATAGGTTAGTTATTCCCATACATATGTGTCATTGGACCATTGGAAAATCTTTTCATTTTATCTAGAAGTATTGGTTATGTTTGTGTAATACTTGTCGTAAATTAATTTTAAACTATTTTCTTAAATATTTTTATGGCAAAAACCATTGTTCAAGTGTAAATTCAGTATAGTATACCGTACAGCGTTCTCTCTCTTTTCTACCTTAGCCTCTAAATTGTTGGATGAATCAGACTTTTTTTTAAGTTTTGGTGTATTTCACTAGGTACTGTATTTCAAGCTCTACTATCTGGAACACAAGTTAATTTAGTATACATGTACAAACAACAGGTGTCTGATCTATCTCTTATCCGTTTCCTAATATATTTGTGAGTGTGCTCCACCGGTGGTACATTCTGGGTGTTTCATGTAACCATTTGTGTCTACCGATAGAATACACAACGGTACTATTTTTAATGCAACTCAAAAAACTTTGTTTATGTCTAAGGGGTTTGATATTACTATTATGACTGCAGGAAATGTTGTATTGTTCCTGGTGAACCATGGATGGTACGCCCTCACAAAAATATACTAAATAGCAGCAAAATTTCAGATCATATGGCTTGTTTTTACATGAGTAAAAATAAAAAATAATGTAGTGTGTATTGAAGTACAGGGAAGGCAGTTGGTGACTGCAACAAAAGACTGGTGACAAAAGCAACTTTTGTCTTCAGTTCATACAGTACTTCTGTGTAAGATTTTTCTTGCTCAAGTTGGTTATAGTAAACAGTATATCTCTTTCTATTCTACCATTTCTATTATCATCATTGACAGATGAACCACAATTACTGTCAATGTCAGATCAGAAGCCCTATACAAGTCACTAGATTCATCTAAATCATTGCATTTTGAAGATGATAAGATAAGGATTGGGCATACTGAGGAGTTCAAATAAAAATGTAACTTATTCTTCTCATCATAACTGGTTCACAACACCAACGGGTGACGCTGATGGCTGACACCACAACACACGTTCCAGCAATTTTTAAGCTACTTCCAATTGTTTACCGATATGAAGCACACTTGTTTTGGAGTAAAAGCAAAAATTCAGTTTGCCCTTACACTAATTTTCCTCGTACTTTACATTTTTGTCAAACACTATTGAAGACTTTGGGATATTTTGCTAAATAGTCTTTAGTGACCTTCAGTGGCACATGACAGCTGCAAGGAAAAAGTATCTATTAGGACTGTTGTGTACCATCACAACAGTCGTATAGACCAGTTGTGATGGTCTATATAGTTGTATAGACCAAGAAATAGACAATATTTTCCACAATCACTGTAACTTCCATAAAAGAGCATAGATATATGAGGTGCATTAGCAATAATACTCTACACTTGTTGCGTGTATTATCGGTAGACACCAACGGCTATACAAAAAACCTGCAATACACCATTAGTGGAACACAATTAAATTATAAACCAATGAAAAAAATTTAAAATGATTGTTATAAACTCTGCATATGTCTAATATATAATAAAAATAGCCTGGATAGGCTTAAAATAATTTATATGTTTTTGACCGAGGGAGAGACGGGTAGCTTGCCTCACTCCATCCCTCTTTTTGCTCTAACATGACGTAAGTATGTAAAAGCTATTTCTTGTTTTCACATAAATAAAGTATATTTCTAAAAATTTTGTCTTTATTTAGATTACAAATAATGTGGATAATTTTTACAAGAGTTGACATAGAGAATTGCATATATAACCTCATATCCTCACACTTACTAATGAAATACTGTACGAGCACCAATCTGCAGTCCACCCACCTTGGGACCAAGTGTTGTTGTGCCCAAGGATTAACTGTTGAGGCCACTTGTTCCTCCCAAAACAAAAGAAGCTTAAAAATCGAGTAGCCACCAAGAGTCCAAACATTGTTCCACATATGCTCTTTAACCACTGTGATGCACCGAGTTTATTGGGGCATTACCTAAGTGTAATTACCTAAGTGTAGTTACAGGATGAGAGCTACACTCGTGGTGTCCCATCTTCCCAGCACTCTTTGTCATATAACGCTTTGAAACTACTGACGGTCTTGGCCTCTACCACCTTCTCACCTAACTTGTTCCAACCGTCTACCACTCTGTTTGCGAAAGTGAATTTTCTTATATTTCTTCGGTATGTGTGTTTAGCTAGTTTAAATCTATGACCTCTTGTTCTTAAAGTTCTAGGTCTCAGGAAATCTTCCCTATCGATTTTATCAATTCCTGTTACTATTTTGTATGTAGTGATCATATCACCTCTTTTTCTTCTGTCTTCTAGTTTTGGCATATTTAATGCCTCTAACCTCTCCTCGTAGCTCTTGCCCTTCAGTTCTGGGAGCCACTTAGTAGCATGTCTTTGCACTTTTTCCGGTTTGTTGATGTGCTTCTTAAGATATGGGCACCACACAACCTCTGCATATTCTAGCTTTGGCCTAACAAAAGTCGTGAACAATTTCTTTAGTAATTACCTAAGTGTAGTTACAGGATGAGAGCTACGCTCGTGGTGTCCCGTCTTCCCAGCACTCTGTCATATAACGCTTTGAAACTACTGACGGTCTTGGCCTCCACAACCTTCTCACCTAACTTATTCCAACCGTTTACCACTCTGTTTGCGAAAGTGAATTTTCTTATATTTCTTCGGCATCTGTGTTTAGCTAGTTTATATCTATGACCTCTTGTTTTTAAAGTTCCAGGTCTCAGGAAATCTAGTATATTGCCATCCATGTATTTAAAAGCAATTCTGAAGTTAGAAAGCGTGGCATAGGCTCCTCGCACAATATTCTTTATGTGGTCCTCAGGTGATAGTTTTCTATCTAGAACCACCCCTAGATCTCTTTCTTTATCAGAATTCTTTAAAGATTTCTCACATAACGATTCGTCTATGTATCATCTATAGAAATTGGAGATGGCATAGGTGGGCAAGGGTGGCGCTCAGCGCTACAACTGAATGCGCTCGCTGTATCGTCCTCATAGGTGTTGTATCACTTGCATTCAACCTTTGTGTTAGGTCCTTATTGCGCCTTGCTTCACCAATATCATGACCCTTATGTTCTTCAAATAAGGTGGTCTGAATTTCACCGACAGCGCGCAATCTTTCAACACCGCGTCAGACAGGTGTTTGGGAGCCAGAGACACGTGTGCCACCCATGGTTGCTCACTCAGTACTAACCCAGCCAGCAGCCCTAGGACATTCTGGGAAGTTTTTCCAAGATGGCTGCCTCTCACTGGAGGTCCTAAGAGTCCATTTCATACACAACCTAGTGCGCACACATTTTGAATGGGTACAACAAAATAAAAAAAAAAGTTTTATCGGTTGGCTCAGTTTCCCACCAACCGAGTTTTCTCGGTTGGCGCAGTCCAGTGGTTAAAGTACTGTACATTTAGGAGTGACTCCTTTGAATAATTGGTGGTGGTTGTCGTGTAGTTTGGTGACTGAGGTTTCTAAAGGATATTTATGCTGGCATGCTCAAGTTCCTTCAGTTGACTACTACTGCACACATGTACATGCTTATTATTATGGCAGTTCTTAAGCCGACTTAGTTACCCATTATTATTTGGCGCCTTCTTTTGATAATTACTTACCCATCACTATAGTGCTATTTCATGACAATTGCAAAAAACTAGTGCTGAATGTAATGAAGTGCCAATTTCTGGGCGATTCCCAGTGGCTCCCTGAAGCTACTATATCTGATAGTGTGCCAACTATTAGATGCCATCAGTCTTGGAGTTCTTTTAGGCCTATCAGGGACCATAGGCTAGAACTTGGTCCCCTCTAAGAGGTGCAAAGAGCAGTGGCATTATGATAAAATTACTATAAATTTATTCATGGCTGCCACCAACAGGGAAAGACCCAGAAAGTCAACAAACCAAAACAGACCACTGCTGGTTACAAGTTAGACTGCAGCCTTGAGAACTGCCAAAAGAACTTCCCAACAATGTAAACAAATGATAAAAAATGTATCAAACTAGCATGAGCTCATTTGCCCCACCTTATATTTTGGGAAGTAGGGAGGCAGCCCAGGGTCAGCCAGCTGATCCACCCTAGGGTCTATATGATGGAAACACGATGCCCTGGGGGAGGAGAGTGGCAGGGAGCCACTGGGGCTCACCCAGAAATTGGCATTTCATTACGTTCTGGAGGGAGCCCCTTGTGACTCCATGAATCTAACTACCCATGGAGAAGGAACAAACAGGGATCAACCAGGGAGGAGGGAGCACCACAGAATTGAAGACAAAAATAAGGCACAAGACTGCAAAACATGACCCAAAACAACACAAGGACAGTACAGAGACGAAGCACCTAGTAGACATAGGCTGACCGCCAAAATCCCAGTGCCCAAAAAGCAGACCAGGCCAGCTGAAGGAGTGGAACAACCATGAACAACACAGCTATGAGGACAGACTGCAGGCCAGCTAGACAAAACGACTCTGTGGATGTAGTGAGACACACAACCCAAAGCCACTAGGGCAATGGGGTCTGGGCACAGCAATAAGACATCAGACTGCCAGAATCCCACAAGACCTCTAAAACCTCTGCGCCCAAAGATCAGCCCAGAACATGTTTGCACAGCCAGCCAAGAAGCGGCAAAAAACTGAACAGGGCACAAAGGCAAGCAAGGGCACAAGGAAGGACCACAGGCTGGCAAGACTGAACACCACAGACAACCAGAGAACAAACCCCGGAATGGAATCAAGGCAACAGAACAACCCACAAGGAGTCAACTGAGGCAGAACCATTCCACGACTGTGAGGCCCAAGAGGTGGATGCCTTTTGGCTGGACTGGTTAAGATGCGGGGTTCATATACCTCTTTCTGTGGTATATGATTCTATGATTCCACAGAAAATGATTCTGTGGTATCATATACTGTACTTCAATTTCTGTGAGCCAACGAGGCTCCCGTCGGCTATCAAACGGCTGAAGCTATCAAACTGACATGTGCCATATTAGTTTGGTATTATCAGCCACGGGAGTTCTAGTGCTTACTAGGGGCCACGAGCCAGAACCTGGCCCCCCCCTCAGAGAGGCTCAGGGAACAATGGCCATATGAGCACTCTACATTTAGAGTTTGTCATGTCTGCCATCAACTGGGGATACTACCAGAAAGGTAGGCAAAACAATACAAACCTCCAACTGGTTAAAATTGCAACCTACATCTGAACTCGTCTGAACTGAACCAAAGAACTCCCCCTCCCCTCAAAAGAAAAAATGAAACGAGCAAATCGTCATCCAACTATCGTGCCCACTTGTTAGCGCCCAGCCGACAGGGAAGAGAGGGAACCCATTCAGGCGAGCCGGCCGCTCCCCCCTCAGTTCATTGACTGATGTGCCTGGTGTCAACAAGTCTCCTCTGGCCTTGCTTTCCTGTCTGGATTTTACCCATGTGGCTGTGCCAGATGTGTGTGGGGTGTTGGCCAGGTGTTCTTAGTACATTGGGCTGCATGAGCATAGAGTTACCTATGCACATAGTTCTCTATGTGCCCGGTAAGTACTTCCCTTGCGTTCTATGGTTATCTTTTCTAGGACGTTCGGGTCTTGTTCCCTTTGAGAGTTTCGTCGTTTGGCATTGTTCTTCCCCTTGGGGTACGTTGAGGCTCTTGGGCTTCCTGTCTTGCCCCGGGTAAGGAGTGGGGCAAGACATATTCGCTTGATGGAAAATCGAAAACAAAGTTTTTGATTGGGCAGCAGAAAATAACATGATGTTTAACAGTAATAAATTCCAGGTATTCAGGTACGGCAAAAATGAGGATCTGAAATATAATACAGAGTACAAAACACAATCGAATCAGTCCATAATAGGTAAACAGCATGTCAAGGATTTGGGAATAATGATGTCCGTTGATCTAACATATAGGGAGCATAACCAAGCAAATATTGCGTCTGCTGGAAAAATTATAGGATGGATTACGAGAACTTTCAAATCCAGGGATCCCATCACAATGGTTGTACTCTTCAAGTCACTTGTGTTGTCCCATCTCGTGTACTGCTCAGTACTCACTTCCACCTTCAGAGCAGGAGAGATTGCTGAAATAGATGGAATACAGAGAACATATACGGCACGTATTGACGCAATAAAGCACCTAAATTATTGGGATCGTCTCAAAGCTCTCCAAATGAACTCACTAGAAAGGAGACGAGAGAGATACCAAATAATATACACAGGGAAAATACTGGAATGCCAGGTCCCTAATCTACACAGTAAAATAACAACGTACTGGAGTGAACGACATGGAAGAAAATGTAGAATAGAACCAATGAAGAGCAGAGGTAGATTTGGGAGGGACTTGGGTGGGTGCTGGTTCAGTAACAGGGTTGTAGGTTTGTGGAACCAGTTGCCGCGTGGCGTGGTGGAGGTGGGGTCCCTCGATTGTTTCAAGCGCGGGTTGGACAAGTATATGAGTGGGATTGGGTGGTTATAGAATAGGAGCTGCCTCGTATGGGCCAATAGGCCTTCTGCAGTTACCTTTGTTCTTATGTTCTTATGTTCTTATGTTCTTATGTTCTTAACGATATGGAAGAAAATGCAGAATAGAACCAGTGAAGAGCAGGGGTGCCATGGGCACAATCAGAGAACACTGTATAAACATCAGAGGTTCGCTGCTGTTCAATGTCATCCCAGCGACTATAAGAAATATTGCCGGAACAACCATGG